TAATATTTCTTAATAACTTCCTTATTTATGAAAAAAATAATGAAAATGACCAAAATGACCTTATTGATTAAATTTAATAAAAAAGAATGAAATTTTCCTATTGGTCGATTTTGGTTTACACGGTTTTTTAGAATGACATGGTTTTCATTTGAACCTGCCCCTATATATATATATATATATATATATATAAATTAAATAGAAACAAAACCCACTCTACCTATTAAATATTAGCAAATGCATTATATATATATATATATATATACACACACTGTACACACAAATTAAATAGTAAATTAAGAACCCCACTCAAATCTTCTACCTACTCACTACTGTTTGTCCTTGAATCTACCTATTAAATATTAATAAATTAAAAAGCCTCAATCTTCTACCTGTTTGTCCTCCAATCTTCTACCTATTAAATATTAATAAATTAAGAAGCCTCAACAAAACCCACTCCAATCTACCTGTTTGTCCTCCAANTCTACCTGTTTGTCCTCCAATCTTCTACCTATTAAATATTAATAAATTAAGAAGCCTCAACAAAACCCACTCCAATCTACCTGTTTGTCCTCCAATCTTCTACCTACTTCTTACACACTAACTTTACCCAAAAATTAGAAAGCCTCAACCGATTCATAAGACAAGCAGTAGAAGCAAAATGAAGCAAATGCAGAGCACTAGAGCAGTAACCCAGTAACCGTAAGCAAAATGAAGCAGTTGAAACAAATGAAGCAGATGAAGCACAGAACAGTGGCAGATGAATCATGAAGCAGTAATGAACAGGAAACAGTAATGAACATGAAGCAGTAACCGACTAAGTACTAACCGTATGTAAGAACAAGCAGTAATCGTGCCCCTTCTTTTCTCCGACGATGCGGTTTTTGTTTTCTGGTTGATAGCCCGGAGAAGAGTGCCGGAGGAGGACGGTAAATCTTAAATCGTCGGCAAGGTGGGGGCCTCTTGAAAAACCTAATGGGGGGAAGTGAAACTAAGAAATGTAAAATCCCCATTTTTAACCTAGGTAAATTTTTTTTTTGACTGGGGCCTCCCCCCCCCTTACCCACCGGATCCGCCACTGCCAACACCCAAAATATGGATAATACACCACCTAAAAAAACACCTTCTGGCAATGGGGGAGGCCTGTATCCTTCAAATGTGGCGGAACATAAAAGTAGGCCACATATAAACATTATCGAACTACACCTCAGATATATAGACTTTAGTGCACACTATATCAAGTGTTACCTCAAGTCCTCAATACCTTTAGTGCACACTCTATGGGCATCACCTCAAGGTCACAATACCTTTAGTGCACACGCCCCACTTTGCTTTATCTCAAGGATACCCGATCTTAGTAGATTTCCAACCTCAAGGTTCCCATTCGAATTTTAGTGTCTACTCACTAGCATTCAAGATGGGATCCTCAAAACTTCCTACTTGACACAAAACATTTAACCCTCATGCATAAGGTTAAAGCATCAAGACCATAATAGTCTTGGTCCTAGAGTCCAGGTCATAAGAATTGACCTCCGCGATACCGAGATGACCATGATGCCTACATGAGCATCGATCACAAAATGAGGACATCAGGACTCCTCACTTATCAAACATGACTGATTTAGATGCCTATGGATCCAATGCATTACCGTTTAAATTACATTACTCCAAACAAATATGTTATAAGAGCATATAACTCCGAAACAACATAGAGCAAATTAAACCAAAAAATGTCCCAAAAAAATATTTGAGTCAAAACCGAGCTAAAAGCTCAACAACTCAATTGACTATTAAATAAAAGTCATCATAAACAATAAAAATATTTAACCAATGTTTATGCAAAGACATACTCTAAAGGCATGATTAACTCAAAAATATATCATTGGTTGAGACAAAACCATTTTCCAATTGAAAACATACCATTTATATTTCCAAAATGTCTCTTAACATAACAATATGCATTTTTCAAACCAAATACACTAAAAATGCATTATCATAACATAATCTTCATTTTGAAGATAAATCATCAAAATAACCGACACTTATGATTTATTTATCAAAATGTCCAAAAACCCAAATATAGACATTATATAATTTGTAAAACCAAATATATCCAAGATGAAAATTCTATCAAATAATCAACACAACTAATAAATATCAAGAAAACATCTCTAAAACTATAAAATGAACATTTTTGGCATGTACATGGTTTTTCACAAAACAACTTGAACTCACCTTGCTAGGTTAGGTTAAACTTAGTTCTTAACCCCATTCTCTAGCTTCCATTGATGAAGACTTTAGATCTCCAAGCTAATTTTCTAGATCTGTGGTGCAAAGCTTCTCAAAAACACCTCATTTACTCCCAAAACACACACAAAGAAACCTTAGAGAAGAATGAAGGTTGAGGTGAAAATAACCAAACCTAGATCAAGAAATGGTTGGTTAGGTGCTTACTTTTCAACAACTAGGAACCATAAATCAACAGGAAACTTTAATCCTCTTTAATTTCCACTTGAGAGCTTCAAAAAATGATACAATAATCTCAAGAATCGCTCAAATTGAATGAAAAATGAGTGAAATATGACCAATGAAGAAATAGTCCGAAAATCGGGTTAAAACTGATCCGTGTGTGCGAGGCCACTTTTAGGGAGATTTAACTTTCACCAAAAGGTCACCCTACCCTTTCCAGTCGGCCGATCGACCACCCGGCCGTTCCTCGACCGTTTTCAACCGATTCTCGACCGTTCTCCCAATTGTTTCCCTGGCCGTTCACCTACCGTTTTCAAAAAATTCAGGGTGTTATAAGATATGACTCAAAAGGATTAACATCTGAACCTTTAAAATTTTTCAGATTCAAAGATCTGGATCTTAGTCAAACATTGGATCTATAACTCATAAAATGTGAGATCAAATCTTTGATTTGATTAGTCTCCATCCTAATTGAAGAATCTGATTGACTTATCATTCTAGTCATCCCATCTTGATTTCCAAGAAGCAACATTTTATTCCAAGTTATTTTATTCCTAGTCATCCCATCTTGATTTCCAAGAAGCAGCATTTTATTCCAAGTTATTTTATTCCTAGTCATCCCATCTTGATTTCCAAGAAGTAGAATAGAAAAGATAGGGTTTTTCTTTGTAGAAGTTCTATTACTATTTCTATTGATCCAAGAACAAAAAGCCTTCAACGAGATCAAATACTAGTTAAAGTGAGGTCAAGATCGTCCGCCAAAGCGGATTGGTTTTTGTTGGTCCCAAAGGGTCTACAAGAATACTAAACAGTTTGTAGAAGGAGGGGGGATGAATACAAACACAATTTTCAAATTTAAAATATATATTGATAAAGAAGATCAATACAGATTTTACAAGATTGTCTGCGAAAAGATAAGGTA